GAGAAGTACCGCGCGTTGCTCTTCGAGTACGCTCACACCCTGGGTCACGGCATCGAGGCAGTAATGAACGGGCTGTACCGCAAGGCAGAGGCACTGAATATCGATTACGAAGACGCCTTCCGCCTGCACGGTCAGTGCGTGGGCATGTCCGTGATCCTCGCGGGTGAGATGTCCCGACGGCTGGGGCACCTGCAGGGAGACGGCTTCGTCGCTCACCAGTCGCTGGTATATCTGTTCAACAACTTCGGGGGCTACGACTTCGGGCCTCTGCGTCAGCTCTGCGACAAGCTCGGCGTCAGCCGGGAGGAGTTCTGCGAGAGCGTGCTGAAGGTTGTCCGGCGCGACAACAAGCGCGGCTACTGCAAGTGTGCCCCGGGCTGCAGCGTCGACCAGCTCGTGCAGGGCAGGCCAGGCTCCCTCCTGCGCAGCGACGACCCCGACGCCGAGCTCCGCTACCTGGTGGAGGTCAGCGAGGAGTCGCAGCGGGACGTGCTCATGGATGCCTTGGAGGGCCACTTCGACAGGGTGCTGGTGGCCGAGGGCCCAGGCCAGCTGTCGCACGTCCCGCGCGCGCGGGCCTCCGGCCGCGACGCCGCCTACGCGGCGGAGGAGCTCCGCGCCCTCCTGCGGGCTCTCGACGGCGACGGCTCGGACCCGCGCTCCTCGAGCGCGGCGCGGGCCGCCGAGTCTGGCGCCAGCTCTCTCGGAGAGGGCCGCGCGGGCAGGAGCGCGTTCAGGCACATCTCCAAGAAGGAGTCGAGCGTGACCTTGTCCACCTTGGCCATGGCCCTCGACGGCGGCGCGCTGCCGAGCAGTGCGTCGCCTCCCTCCGACCCCGGCGACGGCCAGATCTCGAGCGACTCCACGCAGTCCCTCCAGGACGTCGAGCGGGCCTCGCACGGCTCAGGCAGGAAGCGGCTCGACTCCGACGAGCTGTCTGGGGCACCCGGGCAGTCTGTGCTCTCGGCGGATCTGGCCGGCGCGGGGAAGGACAGGGTCTGAGCCAGTCCAGCTCCTCTTCCTCCTCCTCCTCCTCCTCCTCTTCCTCCTCCTCCGTCTCCTCCTCCCCCTCCCTCGGGGAGAGTCGTCCTGTGAAGTGGTGAGGCGAGGGCCGTGCGGACCATCGCTCTCTTCCTTCTGCATCCTCTGGTGCTGATGCTCCTTTTCCGCGTGCGTGCCTTGCCCAGCACTCTTTCCTGATTCGACCCACCACGCCAGCGTGACAGGTTGGCTGGTCCGAGGGTACAATGCTCTCCCAGTGATGCTGAAGGTTTCCTTACATTTTCCTCACCTCGGGCACTCGCTTCGGAGCTTTGTCGTGTTTTCCTGGCGATCTGTAATGTACGCTCACTGTTCATTCGTGTGGCATTTGCGTGCAGCCACATTGCAACGGCGGGTGCCGTTGGGCATTACCCTCCGCCGCTAATACCTCGACCATGATCTCAAGTTGCAGTGCAGTTTGCATGGAATCCACGGACCTGCGAGGTCTCACAGGCACGGTGAAGCAATGGGAAGCTACAGATGCCGAACCAATGCTCCAGCTACCTGTACTCTGCTACGCTCACAGGAGGGGTTTGAGGAGGAGGAGGCGGATACCTATATGGAAACATGAGCAGGATATGGTGGGGAAAGGTGCATGAGGTGGCAACAATTCGGCTGATACCGTTTCGCATCAGTGCTCGTTTGGATTTGCCTGGCGCAAGCTGACGGCACCCATGCCCTCATTGGAGCAATTGGTTGGGCCTTTCACCTGGGTCATTTCTCAGAGACACGCTCTGACACTTCGCAGGTGCTTTACCCGATGGGCGGGCACGGGGGATGCTAGAGTTCCAGAAACAAAAAGCTGGTTATGGCACTTCCGTCGCTCCCACCTGCACGGCTTGAACGTGGGCCATCTACGTGACAATACAGTCCAAGTTCGCTCAGTCGTTCGGCGACTAATACACGGTGCAGCACGGGACGTGCAGCACCAGACGGCGCGCACGGGGGGCGTGCATTTTGCGTTCTGTTTTCGCGCTCCTGTTTGGCCGCTCCTGGGGCGGAACCTCACTCATGTTGGTGTCTACTGGGCTTCCCTTGGAGGATCCTCCCTCTTCCCCCTCTCCCTCTCCTCTCGCTACCCTCTCTCTTTCCCTTCCCTCCCGGTGCCTCCCTCGAGTCCAGAGCCCGACGGCGGGCGGGGGCCGCTTTCTTGAGCCAGCCGACCAGTTCGTGCGCGCGGCTTCTTCACGCCGACAGAGACCGATCGAGACACACCTCGGTACGTGATTGAGTACGCCGGATTCCACAATAAAGTGGTGGGGGTCACATTCAGGGGGGGTCTGATTTGAGCTGTCTTGAGGGTTCGGGGGGGGTCTGGGCAAAGGGCCGCTCTTTCGTGGATGGTCTGGGTGGGTCTAAAACTTCTCGTCTGAGAGGGTTGTGACCCCCTCCTCTTTCTTACGAAATCTGGAGTACCTCGGAGGAGCAAAAAAAAATCGCCCTAAGACGGCCGGACAGACCTCCAAGAGGGCCCCAGGCCGGCCCAAGAGAGCCCCAAGTTGGCCCAAGAGGGCACCTAGACAGTCCAGACGGGGTCCCAGGAGGCCCCAGGAGGTTCCCAACAGGCCCCGAAGAGGCCCCGAAGAGGCCCCCAAAAGGCCCTCGGGAAGCCCCAAGAGGCCCCCAAGAGTCGCAAAAGATCCCGTAAGGACCCCACAGAAGTTCGAAAACGCCCGTAAAGGCCCCAAAGACAGGCCCAAAACGAGCCCAGAGCCCGAACATGACCCGAAGACAGCCCAACAGAGTCAATACGCCCCCCAAGACGGGCCCAAGCCATGACGGGACTGCACCACGTCGCACAGAAGCTCTCAGAAGGCTCCAGGAGTCTCCCATAAGGTCTACGTGACGTTCACACTCTGAACGCGAGGCCTCCCAAGAGCGTACGGCAGCGCAAAACAGCTTCAGCGTCGAGCCCAGCTGCGACACGGTCCCGAGGTCCCCCAAGGCCCTCACACGGCTCCTTCATAGTCCGGAAGACACGGCCATTGGTAAGTCGAGGTCGCCGTTTCACATCTTGCTGTGTCCGCCATGCCGTCTCTTTCCCAAGTCTCTCGGCACTCGCGAACACTTCACTGCGTTTCTTGCCCCCCTCTGTGGTTACGAACGCGTACGTGTACATAGGCATGCATGTGTGCACACGTAGATCTGCCCAAGTAGTCATGACACACATGTATGCGCGAGCATGGAAACACATACGTATGTATGTCTGTCTGTCTGTCTGTCTGTCTGTCTGTCTGTCTGTCTGTATGTATATATGTATGTATGTATGGATGCATGTATAGATGTATGTGTGTATGTATGTATGTACGTACACCAATATACCAACACACGCATCTATAGACACACACGCCTATGCATACATATATTCATATAAATATCTAAACATGCATATGATGGCCAATGTACATGACGCGAAGTGCCATTACAGCCTTGTGTATAACTATACACACATAAGTATACATATACATATAGATGTGTGCGTATATGGTGGTAAGTTCGATGGGGGTTGGCGCGCTCGCGCGTGGCTGGCGTCGTATCCTTTGACAGGATGGTGCTCGGTCAGAGCGCTCGCGTAGCCCGCGTGGTGGCATTTGACAGGGCTGGTTCCCTTTCGAGTCGCGCGCGTCGCCCGCACTGGATCATCTGTGCACGCGGCTATATCACCTACGTTTCATGGGCTTGCTACCGACCGGTAGGGTCAACGCATGCGCATTATTCCTTCCACGGGGGCGGTGCCCCGCTCAGCCTCCAGCCAGCACGGAATGAGCTGGGATGAACTACGTGCACCTCGTTTTGTTTCCCTCTTGTGTGATCCTTCGTATCATAAATGCTACTATTTCGTTGAGTTAGCCCACAAGTCTGTGCGAACTTGCGAATTCATGCGCGCGTCTTCATTCTGGCGTTGATGCAGATGGCCGCGAGCGTGCTTGCGGGGAACCATTTGACAGGGATGGTGTCCATTCAGCGCGCGTGTGTAGCCTTCGAAGTCGAAATTGACAGGTGACACGGAATGTTCCCGTTTAGTCGCGCGCATTGTAGTTATGGATCGATTTGCTAGGGGTTGTTGCAAAACGCAATTGCCACATCAGCGCACGTGAGTTGCATCACTAGGTCAGAACGCGTGGCCCCCGTTCAGTCCGCGCGCGTGGCCCGCATGGTATTGCTACGAGCGGTAAATACTTTGGCATTGCCCGCGTGGTGCTTTTGCGCAACAAAGAAAGCCCAGTGTTGGATAACGCTCGGTCGGGCCCAGCCTCGCTTGAGGCCAAGAATGCGTAATTGAAACGGGCTTGAAGCTAGACTACAGAAGAATGGATTTTCTCAGAGTATAGTAATGGCGGGTACGGCAGGGCGAAATAAAAGGCAGTAAACTAGATTGAACCCGATTGAGTGGTGCACCGTCGGGTCTCGCAACGAATGCACGAGTCGACTAGATTGGAGAAGGCTGCGCAGAAGATATTAAGCCAGATTGAGTGGTGCACGGTCGGGTCTGGCAACGAATGCACGAGTCGACTCGAGTTCAGAAGGCTGCGCGTAAGGCTGAACCAGAAGTTCCCATACTGAGTGAGTTTGTTGCGATTGCATACTAGAGAGCTCCAGCACGGCCCAAGATTCCACCAAGAGGGCCCCACATATTTGCCGAATGTTTTCCGAGACCAGCTGGCCAAGACGGCCCAGATTCTCCCAGTCGGCCCGTAGATCTCCCTAGGATGGTCCGCCAAACGACCCTCGGACTCCTTACATTGCCCCTAGAAATCGAGGGCTTTCAAACAAGCTTTGAAAGAGACGCCAGAAGCGATCCCAATTAGCCTTGACAGGGCTCCCGCTTCAGGGAAGGGTCGGGGGGTTCAGAAGCAAGGGGAAGACGAAGACGGTGACTTCGTGTATGCGGGCAGAAGAGGTAAAACGAAAACAGCGGAAGCGAAGCTACAGCCAGACATTCCCAGCTACACCGCCAGGACCAGCGTGTGGGAGAAGGGCGAGCAGTGGCCAGCCGGCGTGCGGCATACGAAATTGGAGCCGGGCACGAGCATCTGCGAGATCTGCACAGCCTCGATCGAGCCGAAGAGTTGGATGAGGTCGCCAAAGCGCTCCCGAGCCATGGGCTACCGGCAGGCTGTCAGATCCCTGAGGAAGTCACGCATGCTCAACGCAGAGCAAATGCCCGAGGGAGTCGTCAGCAAGGCCATGCATCTGCCCGAGGAGGTCGATCCCAAGATCCAGAGTTGCTCTCCAGGCAGCTGGCTTCACTTCTGCGGCACAAGGCTCGGAGCTGTGGCCTCGTCATGACCAACGCGGGCTTTGTGGAGTTCGCGGCCTTGATGCGCGAACTCCCGCGCTTCACTGGACAGCAGGTTCGGCGGGAAGATGTTCAGCGTGTCGTCGCGAACAGCTACCATCAGAATGGCGAGCCTCGCTTCGAGTTCGGCTACAGCCAGAACAATGTGTTGCAAATCAGGGCCCGGAGAAACCACTCCATCCCTGGCGTCGAGATATCGGCCTTCCACAGCGATCCCCACGTCCAGCCTTCCCAGCATCCGCTCCGCAGCTCCCTCCACACAGCCGCACTTTGGCCGCGCACGCCGCTATCTCGCAGCGACAGTGCCGCCACCGCTGCTGCCACAATGGAGGCGCCGCTGCCGATGCAGCTGCCTCCTCAGCAGAGCCGCCTTGCCTACGACAGCGCCCAGGCCGGCCGGTGAGCTGCAAATCGGGGGGGGGCCAGGTTGCCCGATTGCCACGCCCAGGGGCAGTGGTCTCCCAGGGGACGGGGGCATTTCTTGGCGCTTCGCGTCTCCGAGCCAGCCCATACAGGAACGATTCCTGCAGAATGTGACCGGCGAGCGGGTCATATGGTTAAATCGGGCCTGTCCCTCTACAGGAGGAATGTTCAAAAATTAAAGAAATAGTTAGGGGACGAGTATTTGACTAATTTTGATTTGGCTTTTTTTTGACATGTTTTCATTTTTCATCCCAAATCCCCTCGTACGGGGACACGCCCGACAATCTTACGGCCCAGGGCCGGTTCACGTTCCCCCTCCCTTCCGCGCTGAATTTCGGTCCCTCGGGGTCCGCGGACCTCTTTGGAGATGCTGGGCGCGATACGCATCAGCCTGGTACGAGCTCTAAGGTAAACCTTTCCAGCGCGACATCAAGGACTTCTGTGCGCCGCGGTGCTGACCACCCAGCCCCCTTGGGGCCGAACCTAGTTCAACGTGGAGTCCTGTCCTGGGCGTCAAGGGGCTTCCAATCTGGCCCATGAGGATGTCAAAAGGTCGCCGAGACGGGCCAAGAGGGTGTCTGTAAGCCTCAAAGATGGCCTTGGAGGCACATAGGGGGACCCAGGATATTTTGAACTTGGTGAAGAGGCGCGCGATAGACCCGCAAGACGGGAATCTGACAGCCGTCGACCATCTTAAACTAGTCAGGCACATTGTTCCCTACCTAGGCTCTGCCTAGAAGGGTTATTACTCGGTAGCTTAAAGGGCCCGGGCAGTGGGGCCCGCCCCGGGCGGTTCCCCCGGCATCCGCCCCGCGGTTCCCCCAGTGGCGTTCCTTTAGCTTCGCGTTGCTTATCTCATCTTAGCTTAGCTGATTCCCAACCTAGGCTCTGCCTAGAAGTGTTCTTACTCGGTAAGCTTAAATGGCCGGGCTGTGTTGCACGCCCCGGGCGGTTCCCCCGGCATCCGACCCGCGGTTCCCCCAGTTACGTCCCCTGGGTTCACCCAGTTAAATTAAGCTAAGCTTAACTAAGCTTAGCTTAGCTAAGCTTAGCTTAGCTTAGCTTATCTCATCTTAGCTTAGCTTAGCTTAGCTGAGCTTTGATTTGCCTAGCTTAGCCTAGCTTAGCTTAGCTTAGCTGATATCATCTTAGCTTAGCTTAGTTTAGCTTAACTTAATTTAGATTAGCGTGACTTAGCTTAGCTTAGCTTAGTCTAGCCTAGCTTAGCAGCTTAGCTTGGCTTAGCTTAGCATAGCTCAGCTTACCCTAGCTTAGCTTAGCGCAGCGCAGCATCGCGCAGCGCAGCATTATCACAGCATAGCATAGCATAGCATAGCATAGCATAGCATAGCGCAGCAGAGCATAGCATAGCACAGCATAGCATAGCATTGATTAGCATGGCACAACGCAGCATAGCATAGCATATCATATCATAGCATAACATAGCATATCATACCATAGCATAGTCTAGCATAGCGTATAGTTAGATGTAGGTGTATATGTAGATGTAGATGTAGGTGTAGATGTAGATGTGAGTATCGCTGTTGATGTTGATTTAGATGCAGATGCAGGTGTATATGTAAATGTAGCTGTCGGTGTAGATGTAGATGCTGCTTTCCTAAATGCTCCACTCCTAGGTAGGGTCGCACCGGGATAATTTTCAATGGGTCGGTTATCCCTTGAGGTGGCTTCGGGCGCGCTTCAGAGGGCCCAGAGACGGGCCAGCGACACCCGAACATGCTTCCGGGCGGCCCCTGTACGCTCGAAGAGGTCACAAAGACCGCCTAAGAGAGCCTCGTGACAGAGCCGACTGCCTAAGAGAGCGCCAAGACGGTTCAAAGAGAGCCCCCGAGGATGCCCAAATCGCGCTAAGGCGGCCCACGAGGTTCCAGAGGGCCCTGAGAGGCCACCCAGAAAATCCAAGAGGGCCGCAGAGGGCACAATAATACGATTATATTGTGGAGAACCCGACTGGTCACAAGATGTCTCATGACACGATTCTTTTGGAGCGTCTTGCTGCCACCGAGATGTCCCTAGAGTGTCCAAAGAAGTCCAAAGATGTGCCCAAACAGGCCCCGAGCCAGCCACAAGAGGACCCGAATTCGGTCGCAGAGCACCTCAGGAAGAGGAGAGCGAGGGTGTGAAGGAGGAGCAGGTTGAGGAGAATGGGGAGGGACAGGCAAGGGGAGTTGGCAGTTGGCAGATGACGGGGAAGAGGCGGCCCCCGCGCGGACCCCGTCGTCGGCGAGGGCGCCCTGCCCACTGCTGGGCAGCGTCGTGGAGGTGCAGGGCCTGCAGACCCGCGCGCACCTCAATGGCCGGCGCGGCAGGGCGGTCGCCTGGTTGCCCGACGCTGCCCTTGTCAGAGTCGAGCTGGACGACGGCAGCCGCCAGGACAGATGGGCCTGCTTGCCGCCATCGCCACCACAAGATGGAGGGGGGAAGGAGGTGGAGGACGAGGAGGAGGAAGACGAGGAGGAGGAAGAGGAGGAGGAGGAGGAGGAGGAGGAGGAGGAGGAGGAGGAGGACCCCCTCCCCCTCCCACTTCTGGTGGCGGTGGTGGAGGGCCGAAGCCCACCGAGGACGTCCGCCCCGCGAACCTCGCGCCCGCGGAGCCCGCCGCCCGCGCCCGCGCGGCGGCCGGCGCCGGCGCCTCGGCGCGCGGAGGCGAGGAGCCGGCGCGCGGAGCCGCGGCCCGCGGGGCCGGCCGGGGCTCGCAGGCGTCCGCGGGGGGCGTCGGGTCGATGGGGCCGCGCGGTCCTCGGGCCGGACGAAACCCAGACCCCCTCGAGCAATGAAAAAATCACGACGGAAGGTTTTTCGCAGTTTTCGGCCTCTGGGGGCCCTTACCGGGCCTCGGGACCGTCAAAAAACGACTCAGGATGAAAAGCCGGTCCCAGGGAATAGGTCGAAACCTCTGGGGGCCGACGTCATGAAAAAATCATGACGTCGGGGGTCTGGGAAGGGGGGGATGGGGAAAGGGGGGGGGTGCGAAATCTGCTGCACGCAGCCGGTTTCAGCCCCGCCGCCGGGCCCATTCCTCGATATGCACAGTCGCCTCCGGCGCCGGGAGGCGCCGGGAAAAGCAGCTGCGTGAGCTGATTCTCACCCCCCCCCCATTTGCTATCCCCCCCTTTCGCCCGACCCGAGGTCCCCCGCGGTCTCCTCTGCGGTTCGCACGGCTATGCTCAAGTCGGGCAGGTCCCTCTATACAGGAGGAATCTCCAAACATGGTTCAGGCAAATGGTCTTGGGACCATTTTTGGAGCATGTTTTTGAGCGTTCGTTTCAGTATGGTTCGGATCTTTTTGTTTCGTCCAGAACCCCCCTGTAGGGGGGCATGCCCGACAGGAGACTGTGTACGGCCACCGCGTCGATTCCTCCTCCCTCTTGCACCCTCATCTTCCCCTCCCCCTTCCCGGGAGAGGAAGGGCACGAGAGAGGTGGTGGCGGTGCATACCTCTGGGTCCCCTGCTTCCTTCCTTCGCCCGAGCCGAAGCGGAAAGCTCCCCTCCTCCCCTCCTGCCCGCTCCGCTCGCCCACTCCTCCGCCACGCTCCTCCTCCCCCTCCTCCGCCAGCCAGCCCTGTCGGGGTAATTGGCCTCGCTCCCCCTTCGCCCGCAGGATCCGTTCTTAGAACAGTTTGGGCTGAGACTGTCTTGTCTCTAACACATCGGGTGTCTGTCCTAAGAACAGTGTTTTGGTTATTCGAGCACTTTGGGGGGGGTTCTAAGAGCACTCCGTGGTAGGACTATTGGAGCGCCGGGACGGTCGGTCCCTGCTCGACATTGGAAGCCAAACAGACCCAGCAACGCTTGGGAGGCCCAACTGGCATTCACAGGATAACTTCGCCCATGCACCGAAAGATATTGGCTGGTCACGCGCGCGTGGATCTCGTAGACGAATTCTCGTTGAGGGGAAGTGGGTGAGCATTCGTAACACAAAGAGGGGTGATACCAATCAAACCGAAGCTGCGATCTATCCCAGCAGCCCCGATAATGGCTGATTTTGGGAACCCCAGGAATCTCCCGGAAGCATCTTGGAGCGATCTTGAAGTTCCAACTCAGCAAGACCCGTTTGGTAACCATTGGGTTCATCCTGAGGATCTGATGGCCCATGTTAGGTCTTTCGCGCCCTCTTAGACATTTCTTGGAGACAATCGGACGAACAGGAGGGGCTCTCATGTAGGTCCCGCAGCTTAGAGTAAGAGGTTACACAAGGTTAGCGTGCCTTGAGTTTTACGACGCTCTGCAGGTATGGGGCGCAAGCGACTACGACACTACATGATTTCACAATGCTGCGGGCCGTGCAAGGAGGCAGGCAGATCTCTGCAGCACGCAGGTGCCATCTTCTTGGTGACGTCCGAATTTGGAACACTCGGACAGCCAGCACTCTGCGTTGGTCCAGCAAGCTTGCAAACTCGACTCCCTGGAAGCGAGGAGTGAGGACGTCATGTGATTGCATTGTGTGAGCTGGACAAGCCCTTGTGATGAAACGTCCGCCGCACTTCACGTCTTCAATATGACGACTTACTACCCAGAGAGATAGCAGATTGTGCGTGGACGATCTTCTTATTGATGCGGATTTCGCTGGATCAGTTGGGCGGGAAGCTCCAATTCCAATGGCTTCCGACATCTGGATGCCGTTTCAGCGGTGTTGGGGTACGTTGGCGGCTGTACGACTCAGCTTGAGCAGTTCGCTCCTGCCATGCAGGGATGTGGCACCCGCAGTATGTTAGTCCACACCTCGCATATGCAGCACACTGGTGTGGACAAGACTTTGCGTGCAGAGATTGCTGATTCTGGTTCTTGCACTCGACGTGCTCTCGGCTCCCTGACGGCTGTCGACGGCGAGGGCACCAGCGAGCCTGTTACATCGATTGGGACCAGGCCCCAATGTCCATGCCATATGCCAAGGAGCCACACAACACATCCACGCACGACGTGACACGGATCGTCTCCCATGAAGCGTTTTACGATTCCCCGAGGCTGTTGAACGTTCTAAACGCCTGGCAGTCGTGCACCCTGATCTTTACGGCGATCTGTATGCAGGAAACCGCGGGGAACAGCAGCGGAGATTTGATAGGCCACGTGATCTACATGTTGCACTGCGCCGGAGAGCCACAAAGGATGACATGTACCGATGAGTGTATGTGCCGTGCTGATACTGGCACATCAAGGTTCTGAAGGAACGGTTGGAGCGATTATATGTATGATTCGCATGCGCCGAAGGTTCGAGGCGCTGGCGAGGACACGCGGCTTTACCCGGGTGTCGCTCCCCTGAGCTTGATTGTCACGGGGTTGTTGGTTTGGCACTTGTCCCCACCCACTCCTCTTCCTCCGAACCGCGCGAACGAATATCACCGCGAGCAACAGTTGGCTCAGGGAGTTTCAGCAGATGAACGGCATGCTCGGCCCCACCCATCGAGAGCCTTGGTACCAGGTGGCCCAGTTCAAAGGCTGTGTTGTTCCAATTGTAGGCTGGCTGTGACCACCGTCTCATTCTGTCTTGCGATAGATATCCAGGTCATACAGTCGCCCGGCCCTCGTTCAGTCGCAGACGAAACATGAGTCCTGTGGGGCTTCATTTCGTCGACGCCATCATTGGCCAGGCCTGCGCAGAGCCTGACACGACAGCATGTTGTCCAATAGGATTGCCAGTTGAGCTACATGTAGTTGGCCATTTTATCCAGTTGCCTGCGGCACCCCCCGCCATCGTGTTTGTGCAACAGAGCATCACGAAGGAGGCTGCGTGTCGGAACAGCGCAGTTCCTACGAGTGGTTTGATAAGGACGCCTGTGTACTCGACCTTGTCTCCGTCAGCGCGGCAGGAAGGAGGTCGAGTTGGCACCCGCGGCTCAGCGAGTGGTGTGAATTGTGGAGGGTCGTGATTCCGACATCGTCTTCGTCCGCGCGGTGAGGAGAAGGAAGAAGAGGAGGAGGAGGAGAAACAGCAGCAGGAGGAGGAGGAGGAGGAGGAGGAGGAGGAGGAGTGGTAGAAACTGAGGACGAGGAGGTGAAATCTTCTTGGGATCCTCCTGGGGCCTCCTGGAAGCCTCCAGTGGGGCCTCTTGGGGGCCTCTTGGAGCCTCCTGGGGCCTCTTGTCGGCTTCTTGGGCCGCCTTAGGGAGGCGATTGGCCCGCCTGGTACCTTCGGAGGCCGTCTTGGGGGCCCCTCTGGGCCGTCCTGGTCCTCTTGTGGAGCGCTTTAGGGCCGTCTTGGGGCCCTCTTGGGAGGCTCTTGTGCGATCTCGGGATCCTCTAAAGCCGTCTTGGGGCCCTCTTGGGGGCCTCATGGGCTGTCTTGGAGCTATCTTGGAGGCCCCTTTGGCCGTCTGGGGCGGTCGGACACCCCAACAGGCGAGAATTTCAAATCCTTCACGTTAGGCATTTCACTGGTTTGGGCCTCCTCGGGCTCTCCTAGAGGGTCTCTTGGAACCCACTTTGGCTGCGTTGGGAGCTTCTTGGGTCGTCTTGAGGCCGTCTTCAGATCCTCTTGAGCCGTCTTGCGCCATCCGGAGCCGTTTTGGTGCCACCTGAACTGTCTGCGAAGCCGTGATGCCATTTCTTCCGTTTGGAAGTCGGAAAGACCGCCTGAAAGCCATTTCAGAGGGCGCGATGTTCGAGGGTTGCATGCTCCGAGTGGGTGTGGGAGGGGGCTTGGCCCAAGAAAACTCAAGAAACCTTCAAGACAACAGCAAGCATTCTAACGCGCCCACTGGGCGCAAGGCCCTGTGGAGGATTACACATAGCATTAGGTGCCTCGATACGCCCGTTTTGAAAGGCAATACGTCCCGTGTTCAAGACCTCCGTGTGAATACGTTGCGTGTTGGCTCTACGTTTTGGACCACGTTTTGGCGACTGTATCGCGTCGGACCTACGTTTTCAGCCTACGTGTTGAGCTCCGTATCAATACCATACGAGTTTCGTGTTGCGTATCGGGGCAGCTAAGAACATAGCTTCATGCTTCTCACTCCCAACCAAGGCTGAAGAAAGTTTGACACGTGTAGATGATGCACGGCGGCGGGCAGCAGATATGCGTATTCCGACCATCCCAGCAGAGGGATATTCGCTGATGATCCTGATCCCGTCCAAGCTGTCGGCGGTCGTCGGGGACAGGCGCTTCTATCTCGCCGGCACCCTGCATTTATGGGACCACATGTCGTTACCATTGCATCCAGAATGAACCCCAGATGATGACTGGTACTTGTTGGAGGGACTGGGAGCCGCAAGAGTTCAGATACATCCTGAGCGAAATGGGCTTTGACAGGGACTGGTGGTCTGATGAGTGCCGATCGGTTTGAGATTGCGGGCAGTTCGGGGGTTTCATTGAATGTTGCACGCGTTACTCTGCAGTGAAGGCGCCACTGTAATCAGGTCTGCCGCAAGGTAAGGGCTAGTGGAGGGAGAGGGAGGTGGACGAGGCGAGTGCGAAGCGTTTGGGAGAGGGCGGGAAGGCGGGGGATGGAGGGCGCGCTTGAGGCATTTATGTTCTAAGGGCCTAGGGCAAGTTTAAGATGATGCACTTGTTGCTTGGTTGGAGAAGGGGGAGACACTTGGCAGCAGGATGACCATGCCAGCAATCCTGGCGATTGATGGTATCAGACCACTGCTGGGTTGAGAGTTTTATGTCC